TCATATTATTAGTAAGCAGTGTAATACATCTACATAGATATTGGAGATATAGATAGTAGTATTTAGTATTAATTAGTTTTTGTATCAAATATTACATACAAACAACATGTACTTGATTTCGCCACTGCACGTCGACAGTATTTCGTCACATGTCATTATGACGTCACACGCTCCGAGTCTCACCATTGTGGCAAAACCAGTTATTTTGATTTAAATACTAAACGCCAGAACTGATTTTGATAAAATTTCTATGGCACTAATCTCCTTAATAGCAAGTATATCCTTTAGAATAAAAAAAAATCCACATCGGTTTACAACTTACACAGTAATGAGATAACAAACAAACAAAAAATACAACTAAATTGAGAACCTCCTTATTCTTCTTTCTAAAGTCGGTTAAGAACAACAGAAGCCCGCCGTAAGAGGGCACGACGCGACGGATCGAATCATTTATAACCCGTGTCACAAAACAACGCGTCGTCAATCAAAATGTACGAGCCATTCAATGACCGCGATCTACTAAATATATCTCTTTGATACATAAAACATCCCTGTATCAGTATTCAAATTCGAGTTAATTACGTAACGTTGATAACTTCGACAACGCTGTCAATGTGCTGAAGTTGGAGCGACAAGATTAATGGGCGTAATAAATTTAATTGAAAAATAATCGAGTCTACATTAGCACATCTGCGTGCAAAACTATTTTAATAGTACACGCTAATCCTATTAATATTATAAATGTGATAATTTATAAAGATGTTTGGGTGATTTATTTGTTTATTTATCATTTATGAACCACATTACAAAAAAAATTTGGTATAAAAGGCGGACTTAATGCTATATAGCATTTTGTCTCAGTTTACCCTTGGGACATGTAGTAATGCAGTGAAAAATTGAAAATTGTTGTAGATAAACAGTTACAGATGTATTCATAATCTTTGCAATGGTACATTAAAGCTGCCAATTTATTAAGTACTTTAAATATATAGTAGTTATTCTTTTAATGTTCATAATATCGAATGTCATGCAGAGTAGTTATTGGAGTGCAAATTTGATGCTGTTTTATATAGTATTTATTTTACTTATGTATTAATTTGTAATCTAATATTGCTTTGCTATAAATAAATATTGACTTATAAATTATATAACACATTATTACTGGAACACATTTAAAAGATCGAATGGTTTTGAATTAAATTTAGAACTGATATTGACTATCATCATCATCATCTTTATATCACCCGTAACTATCCATTGCTGAACATTAGCTTTTTCTTTGAAGGTTTTGCTAGCAGTTGCCACGCTTGGTAGGCGGATTGGCAACCGCAGTTAGGCTTTGGTGACGTTTTAAGATAGATCAAGAAATCGTCATGGAATTTAGTGTACATGTCATTTAAAGTAGGTGGTGGAAAAAAATATAAACCTATTTCATCCACTACATTACTGTTGCTATCAACAGAAGGTCCCATTTACGAAGACGATGTCGGGTAATCGGCTAGTAGAGAACAATTAAATTTAACAATATCGGTATCGGAATTATTAAAATATAATCCAGTATTGTACTTGCTTTACATTTACTTTAACAAAAGGTTCAAAATAAACTAAAAACATAAGGTAAAAAGAAAACCGTAACGCTTCGCAGCACGCCGTCTATTACATTTTATATCAGAACAATAAAAAAAAATCATGCAACATATCCTAAACATTAACCGAATTATCCATTACAACTCGGGCTCGCGGAGAAACATTTATTTTTTATAACGTCCGCTGTATCCGTTGTCCATATTGTCAAACAATTTTAGATTCTAACGCAAGCGCACAATATCGAATACAGGTGAGCATCAAAAATGGACCAGAATTAGCTATTATGCAAATATCAATTCAGTGCAAAAAAATCGGATGCCTATTTCACGTGAAAGACGTGAAGGGCTAAGTAGCACAGTGGAGTATCAAATAACTTACTCGCTTTGTTATGCTAATGCCGTACCGAAATTATCTGTTCGCCGTATAATCTTGAGAGAAATAAAAAGTTTGCTGGGTGGCCCTTTTATTATATTTCTATTTCGTATCAAATCTGAACCGCGTTGATTCCGTTGAAACGTTGCCGGTGACTTTTGCGGGGCATAATAAATATTTATGTAGCTACGTTCTTGTGTTGCGGATTTTTTAACTTCTAATACGGTCTGTTTGGAAGATGTTTTTTTGTTACAGAGAGGAGTACTTATCATGACCAAATATAAAGGAGCCTGTTTAAGGAAAAAGTCGAGAGTTTAATGGATTGACGAGTATGCCTGAGATAAAGTCAAGACATATCTAACTTGGAATAGCAAACAATTAAACGGCCTATCTGATATTACGTATAGTCATATACTGATAGAACGTATAAAGCTTGATGAAAGGGTAACCAAGTTTTCTTGAAATTTTAATAGAAATACTCTCTTTATATTTAAGAGTTTCTTCTTGTCAAGGCAACTAATTCATACATTCTCTTCCAGCCAGTTCTATTCCAGGTCATATCTTTGACCTCCCTGTACGACATGATATCTAGTATTTCCTTTAACTGTCCTATGTAGTTATTTCTCGGTCTTCCCCTTCCTCTTTTGCCCTCTATTTTTCCTTATAGTACGTAAATTAGTAACAAATAAAAAAATTCTATCTACTATCCGATTTTTTTTTTGCACTGTTATCGGACAGCAGAGGTCTTACGGCCGATTATTCGTTTGTTTACATTTTGATTAAGTTTTATTGAAACTAATTATAGTAAGTAGCCGTCGTCAATATATATATATAAACACACAGGTTATCACATTGTTACTAAAATTATCCAAATCGTCACGCACGACGGTCAACATGACGAATGGACATCGACCGAAGAGTGCAATAGAGATCAAATAAAATGCCCTCGTGTGACTTTCGGTACGAATATTGGAAATCAAAGTTGACAAATCGAAAACACAGTCCCCGTATCTGTGTAGTGCGCCCAAATTCCATAGCGAATTAAATGAAATTTCCACTCGGGTGATTTCCGTGTCTTTGAACCCGGAGGAACCACTGCCGAGTAAATGATCAAACGAAACAGCCCGTCTGTCTGTACGGATGAGGCAGAAACATACACGTTTTTCTTAGAGGCTTTGAAGACCAATGTGAATACAGATTCCCTTGGAGGGTTCAACGTATCTGAACCTTAACAATTTGTGTAAACATATTTATTAAGACTACAAAACTAAATTTCTTATTTAGTTTAAAATCACAATATTAGTTTTATTTTTACTATACAAAAATAAAGCTAGACACTAAAAGTATACAAATTCTGAGACCGACATATTAATTTTCTCATAACCTCTCCTCTGTCAAGCATACCTTAAGCCCTTTGTATCAAATATGACCATCTGAATTATTATAATTGGTTTTATAATGGTCAAAATACTACATCTAATGTGGTAAACATTATAACATCAATTTAAACTTAAGCCATATTTAATGAAAGGCTTATTTACCTAGATTGTGACGGAAATACCGTTAACAAGAATAAATAAACTGACAGCGACGATCACTGTAAAGACTTTATTTTGACCTCTAAACCATGATTATCGGATATTATCCACGACTTCGGTCGCATCACTGAGACATACTTATCAAGCGGAATAAAAGTATATATCAAATTTCATGACATTTGGATGAGCAGTTAAGACTCCAATATATAACAAACAAACTTACTTTCACATTTACAATATTAATACAGTTTATAGCAAAATTATTACTATAAGAATCTGTTTCAACAATTTATAACAGATTTGAATCAGAACTATACATTTAGTTGTCGGTGGTGCGTAACATAACAACAATATAAATTCGAACACGTAATACTTATTTCAACGGAATTCACAACATTGTTGCAAAGACATTTTATTGTAAATAGTGTAATCAATTTACTCAACTGTTGGTGATTATATTGTATGACTAACAAAACAACGAGTTACATTCATTTTAAAACAAAATACTGATTTTAATAAAATCCGTGCACGAATTACGAGGAAGAACTTTGATAAGGAAACAAGGCAAACTTTATAATAAACTGCATTATCGTTTAACTTTTAATAACAATTTTAAATATCTCTAAACAATCATTGAAAATATACCTTAAAATATAATTATTAATAATTATTACTAATATTGTTATGTACATTGCCGTAGCTGAGGGGGGGGGGGGGGGAGCATAAAGGGGCAACGCCCTTACCTTAAAATGAAAGATCCCTAAAAATATTTGATTCCCTTTTTCGAAGTCACTTAATTATAGCTTCTGTTCTACTAAAAAGTTCTATTGCTGTACATTACACATAGGTCTAGCTACTGCCCTGGTTATGTAGCACAGTTGATTCCGAATCGCTAGATGGACTGAATGTATATTCCTCTGATATACAGTATCATTATTAATACAATAGATAAAATAAACAATAGCAATGGAATCTATCACAATCGCATTTTATTTTCCAAAAACTGCATTTATTAGTAGGATTAGTTTCTTGCTTTGCAGAGACAGCTACAAAGGTATTTATCGCTCGCTAATAGCTTTTATGTAAAACAAGTAAATTAATATTGACAGCATAGGCGTATTTAGAGGGGAGGTCGAGGGGGCCGTACCCATCCCCGAATTTGCTAGTGCTAGTTGTACTACTGTTGGACATCTACGGACTATTTTACGTCAAAAATTTTTATAGAGGCTAGTCAAAGTGATCACACCATACCTGATGGTAATCAGGTAATGTGGTCCAAACGTAAGGGTCACCGTCACAACAATTTAAACCGTGTTGGCGATCGTTATCTTGACAGTCTACAAAATTCTTCTCTTCACGCTCTGCTGCCGCAGGATTATAGATAGGAGGAAACATATGACCGCGAAGAACATTCAAATTTTATTAAATCGACAGAAAGACCCGCGATTTTTTCATTTTTTCATTAAATTGTATTGAAACTGTCTTATAGAAAATTGTACTCACATGGCGCCGGACTGGGTGGCTCGGCGTAGATCCCGATGGACTTGCTGGGATCGTCAATGAGGGACTGTGCGAGGTGGTAGTCGCCGAGCTTGTGCTGGATCTGCTGGCTAACATGGTCCCTGTTGCCAGTCACCTGAAGACAAAGTGCAATAGAATTATTGAGTTGTAAAGGATAGCAGAATTGCGAGGGGATTGGGATGCGTTGACAGGGTAATATATAAATGTTGATCTCTATACGATCCTCTCTGGAGACCATCGTATTAACCCTTCTTTGAATAATGGTGGAAAATTCCATCATAACATTGAATGCCCAAAAATTATATAAAAGACCAAGTTCACTTTTAGTCGATCGTGTTTGTCTGTCGTCAATCTTTAATGTCCATTGCAAAAAACAAAACATAGCTGTCAAATTTATTTTTTAACCATTTATCCTTAAATTTTGATCATGAATTATATCACCTTGATTTATTTCACCAATAAAAAAAATCATGCAAAGAAGGGTTAACTCGTAATTAATTCCTTACTATGAATTAATTATGAGTACAATTATCCTCCCTGATGGACCAACTGACCTGCCGCATCTATTATTCCTGATTGGTGGGGCACCAAAATGTACCAATAAGCCAGAGTTACCCTTTTTATCATCTATTGTATTTGGGCGAGGAAGTTGTAAATATATAGGTTGAAATCGAAGCTGTTGAAAAATGATAAAAAAAATCTTAAGCTTCAATTTTTAAATACAATAATTTTGAGTTTTAATAAAAATCTTCATGTAAGAAGAATCTTCCATTGGTTTTACAAACTCTCATGGGCCTATAGCCTTTTATAATCTGTATCGCAAGCGTGACAGTCAACCTCGTCAAATAAAAAAAAAAAACATGTAAAGTTATGCCGAAAATTTACGACTACAATGGTTTATTGCGCGAATTAACAAATGATACATAAAGCCGCGGGAGAAAACATGAAATTTTCCTTAGTAACATAAAACAACTTTGTAGGAAACATTTTGCTTATAGATACGAAACACAATATTCCACACAACTTCGCTTTTCTACATTATTAATGTTTTAAGTGATGTTTGTTTTATAAAATACAATAACGGTTGCGAGAAACGGTACCTACTACCTAATACAAACATTGCTGTACTTATTAGATTATCCTTGTAATATAACTAGATAGGCTTATATCCTGCAATTCTGCAAGCTACTTATGTCAAGACAAAATTAATATGGGGAGTAAATTCTAGAGTTTACAAAAAATAATCATAAAAATCGACAAGGTACGGAGAGCAAGTAAAATAGTCGTTTAGCATCATAAGAGAGCACTGATTGAGGCAGGTCAGTGCTAATGATATTAATATAGTGATATCGTAATAAAAAAATCACTGAACTGAATCAATTTGAATCATCATCATCATCAGTAGTCAGTGTACAGACTGATATGACAGGGGTATTATAAGGATAATTAATATTACCTGTTTTAGAAATTTAATATTACAAACTAAATACGACAACAGGCAATGGGCTGTTCACAAAGCTAGAAGAACCGACAACCGATGGGGAAGTAAGGTTCTTGAGTGGCGACCTCGTACGGACAAACGCAGTGTAGGATGTCCCCCACTAGATGGAGTGACGACCTGAAACGCATTGCAGACAGTCAACGGATGCAGGTGACTTAGAACCGTTCTTTATAGCAGTCTATGGGGGAGGCTTACGTCAAGCAAGGGACGGATAATGACTGAGATATCATCATCTCAACCATGTGATGATATGATGATGATGACAACAAAAGTCATTCGACTGTAATCAATAAAAAAAATGCTAATAAAAAAAAACAGTAATCTATTCCATTTATATTCAAATTTGTAACGACATTTGAAAAATCATACAAATATAAATACGCCTTCAAGCAAACATAGTATCCCCTTATAAGGTAGGGTCTATTCATTGCTGAAGCAACTTGTTCATGCACGTAACAAACAAGAGTAACACGACCTTCTATTAGTTTGAGATAAATAAACATTTTGCACGTCAGCGAAATGATAAATTGATTTCATAATTAGCACTATTGTTTGGTCTCTATGATGACATGCATAAACATCATTGTTAATTGACACTGTTGCTGAGAAAGGTCATAAGACATTAGGTACGCGATGCTTTTACATTTACAAGAAGATGTATTTAAAAATAACCTTTTAAATTAGATTAAATCTATAGATATACACTATACGTTGAAATTGTTATTTTAAGAGATTCAATAACTTTCCGAGAAAATATCTTTAAGAATCAATTTACCAGGAAATTTATGAATAAAATGAAGGTAATGAAATAACATTATTAATTAAGGTTTCGTACCAAAATGGTACGTAAGGATCCTTATGGTGCAATAGTCTGTTGGTCCGTCTGTTACTATTAAATTGGAATTAGTTTTAAATGCTGTGAAATATACTAGTAGATCATACAAAAAAATATGTCCACGATAATAATCCTTATGAGGTAGTCAGAAGCATTTGTCGACTATTGTCGTGGTGATGAAGTATTTCTCGACATGCCCAAATTTACTATGGTGGCAAACAAGCATACAACCTATCTGATGGTGAACGGGGTTACCGTAGCCTATGGACACCTGTAACACTAGTGACGTCACGTGCGGTTTTGCCGAGCATATTAGAGTCCAACATACCAGCGAGCGAATTTGCCGCCGTCATCCCTGTATGTATATTACCAGTGTATTTCTAATATCTTTTTTTACAACTGGGAATGGCAAACATGTTGATGGAAAGTGGTAACTGTCTCCTATATATAATACTAGAAATCCGCTCCGACTTCGCACGGGTAGATAGATAAAACAGTATTATACATTAGCTTTAACAGACAAATTTTTGATATCTTGAACTACATCATTGTAATTTCTGTAGGGATTTTTAACTTTTTGAAAATTGCTATTAGCCTATATTACTCGCAGATAATGTACCTTTCGATAGGTGAAAGAATTTTTAAAATCAGTTGAGTAGTTTTGGAGTTTATCCATTACGTAAAAACAATAAAATCGTCCCTCTTTCTAATATTAGTATAGACATGAACAATATCATGGTCATTACTGAAAATACTATTACACGCATTATATCCCTCATATATATAGTCATTATTTAGGATACGGACGCATAAGGCCCATAATCTATAATTTCTAATTATTCAACTAAGATGTCAAGGATGAATACGGAACCCCAAGGACTATCCGTCGACCGCGTAAACTCTTAGTACGGTCTGTGTTCACAATATCGCCAATTTGGTCGAGGCCACTCTCCGAGATGCTTGTCCATTCACTTCTCCCTTATAAATCGATTTAGTAAGTACATGAATACATACTTTATGCATTTTAGTTAAGAACGTTCAAAATAAAATATGGCAATGTAACTGTTAGAGGGGAAAGGGATTGTCAGTTACGGAATGTAACAACCTTATTTATTACTAGCAATATAAATATTATATAACTGTATTGATTGTATGTATTCATTATATAAATTATGAAGTAGACTGAGTATAATTAAAAGAGAAAAACAAATTGAATTGTATTTGACTGTAAATAAACTTTAATTTTAATTTTATAATTTTTATAATGTTATTATGTAGTATCTATCCTATACAATTTATTTTGTGCTTTGGATAAATAAATAATCATTATTAGCTATATTTTCTTGTTCTTTTATTATATGACAATAATTATTGATATATTATTTATATTTTCACGTTTTAATAAAACTTCTATTTTCATATTTAACTTATTTAATAAAAAAAATATGTTTGTAGTAAATAAAACTAATTTAAAAGTACCAAAAAACCAACGGATGTGAAGTGTTTGGTGAAACAAAATTCTAATGTCATTTGTTGTTATTTCAATTCAAAAGAGAATTTTAAGAATGAACCATTTCCTTCCATTGTTCAAATGACAATCCATTGTAAGAGTTGATTTCTATTAATAAATTACCGCTAATGTTAGAGAAAACCATACTTTTTTTTATTATATATTTAAGGAATCTCGACTTGTATTCTGACGTTCGAAACTCTTCAAAAGGAGGAGATTCTCAATTCGTCTGTATTTTTTTCAGCGACTGTTAACCGCGTTTTTTTTAAGGATAAAAATGGAGTATAATACTGCCTGCGCTATGGGCATGCGTTAGTGGGGCAACAGTGAAGAGATGACAGGTGAAAATGAAGACAGGTTAGTTGGTCCATTGTGATGCAATTCCAAAAAGATTAACAATGAAAGTTTTCAAGGGGAACCGCGTGGAGGTCGATCTGATAAGGTACATTGCTTGGAATGAAGCCGTTAGATCTTGACTACTAACAATCCCTTCCACCCTCTTTTATGTTAATTTTGCGCTGAAAGAAGGTGCTAAGTATACGGAAAAAAACCTCTAAATAACACAACCAGCAACTAGGTTTACTGTTACAGTGAATTCATTACATAAAATATTTTTTGTTATTGAGATATCTTGTAACACACCAACAACTCACAAGTTTTTTGTATATACTTGTCTAAAGCTATCTACTATTACCCACAATCTGTTGTACTCTTTGTTCTTTATGTTCAACCACTTTATGACGAGGCCACACGCCATCTGTCGGCGCGGCGCGCATCACGCCGGTGCCGGCGCCGCGTCCGACGCGACGCGTCCTAAATAAACGACGCTCAATGTCGCGACGTGAATCATTCCGTGATCATCGTTCACCGCCTTTTATTGCACATATGCAAATAAACCGAAAGCAAACTGTACGAAATACTTCTAGTGCTTCTGGCGACGACCAGCTGACGACTCGTAGATTATGCAGTGATGACTTTTAATGAAAATTTTAGTGTTTTTCATAATTTTTTGTTTATATTCCTTTCTTTCTTTAATGTTCTCCGGACCCCTGCTTGTATTTATAGAAATTTATATAGGAAGCCCTCTTACATCACAGCTAGACAACTACTACGTGAATTTACAGGGTACAGAGGAATAACACCTGAGTCCTCAGGAATGGCAACGCATGGGGGGGTATCATGGGCGAAACAGTATACTCCGTTATGTCCATGGTACTGCTTATGTCTATAGGCGACGGTTACCACTTTCCATCAGATGGGCCGTCAGCT